CACGAAGAGAGCTCTAATATGGAGAACCACTTATAGCCGTGCGACGCTTCTAGAGCCCATAAATATATTTGCAGAAGTCTATAAACTTAAATGTACCATCGAACAACCATTAGATACACAGTAGAAAAATAACTACAAAGATCAGGAAGATAACAACCACTTTTTGATTTTTGCCTTTTGTCGGTTTTCACACGCCATGCTCGTTTTTGGAATTGTATTGTACAGTTCAAATCACATTGTTCAAGCTACTTCAATACCAATTCCTTTCATGGATTCCGTTCTCGCGCCATATCGCCGAGCGTGCGATGTCATCTGCATATCTTATCTTTGGGCCCCCAAACAGGAGGAGGTACTGATCTAAGGAGGTTAGCGATTTCATAATTTGCCATAATGTGGTTAGATGACCGCCACGCCTTCTCTTCAAATGCAATCCAGTGCGAGCAAATATGGCGCGGCGTGCTAAGCGATGCCATGGCATACGTAGAACGTAGTAAAACCACCTCAATTGCGGCACTGCGGTAAGGCGGTGAACATGTTTTCCAAGACGCACCACTGAACTTCATCGTTCCGAACCCGTAGCTGCCACCACACATGGGCTATCCGTCACAAACATAGGTTGTCGAAGGCTGATAGCCTACGCACGTCGTCCATATGAAGCGGCCAGGACTCACTTCCGTACAGCAGGATCGCGCAGGCAAAGCGTTGCAGAACTTTCCTTTTAAGGATAGGGATATATTCGGACAACGCCACAAATTACTCAGGCGACAGGACAAGCGATTTCCAGTCATTGAGCTGCACTTTAAACTTCAAGGGGGCAAACGCACACCATAGTTTGACGTGTCAATCTCCAGACGGTTAAAATAACGCATACTTTGTAAATCATCACCAAGCAGAAATATATCATCAGAAGAATATTAGTCGATAAATGTGTGACGAGGCGGTTGAGCGGGATTCGAGCGACCAATTTCCCGATATAATGCAGAAAGTTGCTGCCACGATACCTCGTGCAGCAATAGTTGCTGCCTTTGCCATTACCCTCTGCTAGCACAAAGGCATCCCTCAGCCTGGCCGGCACCTCCCCTTAAAACCACACACATTGCACCAAGTGATGCAGCGTACTTACCAACACGGATCCGCCCATTTTCAACACTTCAGGCTTCACACCGTCGGAATTGGAGCACTTGCCATTTCGAAGCTTAGCAAATGCTATCTGCTTTACATGCAGTTCCAGTGGATCGACAAGACATGCCTTCCACTCTTACCGTTGAAGCCCGTGCAACATAGTCCAATCAATATTTGAGGTGTGACATGAATTACTCCAAGTATATGGATAACAGACTAGATAGTGGATATGAACAGGTAGTATTGATACAACGTGACCGCGAGTCAAACATGTTTATCATTATGGCTGTTATTTGGTTCAATAATGGCTAACTCAGTGATGATTGGCTGGAAATCGGCAACATCTTAGTGGATCGGGGGATACTTGACATCGGGTCATGTGCAGTATTTGGGTTAGGCTTCAGGACATGAAATCCCCAAATATTCCTATTTATTAGAATCAATCAGTGTAGGCAGAATCAAAGTAAGGGACACATTTCGGTACTTCTCATCAGACTCAATTATTAGTTGACCACCACAAAGTGATAAATGTATCGAACTGAACTGCATGTTGACCAGAAGGTTTGATTCCAACAGGAACAAATCAATAAATCACGGGGTAAATGAGGTCGGAAATTATCTACAGGAGAAATAACAGCCGAAGTTGTAGGCTACGGTAGAAGTAAATGACGTAAGAACTGCTTTTGTACGCAAAATGCTGGCTTGAAGTGGCAGATGGCGATAGCTTCCGCAATAGACAGGAAGCGCTTCCGAAATTCGCGCGAGAGAAGCTCAGGGATAGTATAGAGGATTTTGAAATCGTTTTCTGTCCCTGCATGTCTGCACTTGATGTGTTGGCGCATTTTATGAGATAGACGCCTTGTAGTACGACCCATGTATTGTACACTACAGGAGCACGTTTACATATAATCAAGCATTGATCAAGTCAATGGAGGCAGTCTGTCTTTCACAGGTTTTGCGAATAAACGCCTGTTCTAAAATACTATTAGCAGGCGAAGCGCAATATAAGTCTTTTCAAAAGCGCTTCTCAGACGTTTGGACAGGGGATCAGACGCAATGTCGCCTTTGTAAGAAAATTGCACAATATGTTCTTTCTTAGGTATTTGCGTCTTTTAGCTTCGGCAATGAGAACTCCTCCAGTACTATCTCAAAATCAAACTCGGGATTGAGGTGTTGTTAATAATAATTGGTTTTGGAGTGGGGTCTGATTTGGTTCCTGTGGAGACGCCAGGTTTCGCCATAGAACTATATTAGTAGGTGCCACAACCAATATGTCTGGTAACTACACCCGAGGCCCATCTGTATTTGGACTGAGGAACATCTCTTACCCATACAAGGACACCGATCGTTAAATTCTGCTCGGTCCCACGATACTGGTGTTGTGACAATTCCGTAACTTTCAAGTCGGCCACTTGTTTGTGTTCGGAATAACTGTATCCAAAACAGACATGATTTGTCTGCATAATAACATTTCTGACGGTAAACTTCCGTTACACGTGGGGTGTGGAGTGTTTCGCAACACCATGAGGAAATTTTGCGTGCACTTTCAGGAGGACAGTTCCCCACGCTTTGAGCAGTGCTCGCTTGAACGTGTCAACAAACCTCACAACTTGATTAGTAGACTGAGGATGGAGGGGTGGTATTCGCACATGAGTCACTCTATTTCATCTGACAATAATTATTTGTTAGCACTTATTCACGTTATTTATACCTTGAATGATCTTTGAAATAGTTACACCATCGAAAAGTACACGCATGTCAATTGAACCCGCAAATAGTTTTAGATTAAACAAAGAAATGTAATCCATCACCAAAGTTGTTCATTTTCGGCTAAAGATAATGCAGTTAGAGCTAGCTTTGAGGATGTGTACCTGTAGGCTGAAAAATAACACTAGCTGGATACCTTCACGAAACATGCTTACAAAGCATTTAGGCATTAAATTAGGATCTACAAAATTAACTCAAATATCAAAGTAACATTAGCAAGCATTTTAAAATTTGTACCAACTGATTGATACATACAGATGTTGAATATCTGTAATGTAAATCTAAAAAACGCCTATTTTCTCTATATGGTTAGTACGAGAATTAAGCAGTCTTACGGGTTAAAATTAATCAACTATACCCTCTGTTAGACAGCCACCATACTCCCGGAATGTAATATACGATCCATTTTCCATTTAGGAAATCGTCTGCAGTGCGCATTCCATATGACTTGTGTAGGCTTTGCACCAGTAACACGACCGTTACCAGGTCAGACCTACTCGCTGCTGGGGATCGCAACGATGTATTGAATTTTACAAGATGTGATAAAGCGCTCAGTGACTTGTAGGTACTGCCGTGCAGAGGATATGGTAGCCTACCCAACAAGCGACGAGTCTACCATAATTAAGCCAACAATTGACTATTGGCATAATACGCGTTTGGGTTCTGAAATTGATTAAGTTCCCTTTACTGCGGTCTAGGAATTAGGCAATTCACAATCGGTAACATTGACAGGTTTCATGAACTGTGGATACAAGTGTTGACCTAAGCAAATACGCAATGTTATGGAGTAAAACGTTAATATCCCTAACGCAGACTGTTTGGTATATTTTCGCAAGTAATGCTGTATATTGTAGCTAGTGTATATCGCGTTTGTGTACAAGGTACATTTAACGAAATGCTTTGTTGGCCAGAATATCTGCATATGTGTATTTGTCCTTGCAGATGCGGTACCTGCAATGAATATCACAGCAAATTCAACAAATACAACAACTGAAGGAGGAACAAGTAAGTACAATGAATACACACCGAAGCAACTTACGATGATGCAGCTTCAACTGGTATAAATGTCGTAGATTAATAATCAGTCACTGGAAAGTGTATTGAGAACATCATGGTTTAGGTGGACATTTAGATCTATTCAACACTAGTTTTCCCGCACGTGGTACTTGTTATTTAGCCGTTTCGCAGCAATCAAAGTTGACTGAGTACAAATGACGAGATAACGCTTTGCAAACTGCACAGAATTATGCTTACCATTTATTTGCATAGCTCCCACAGGGATGAGCCGTCGTTTGACACTATGCCAGATTTCGTAGTCAAAACCTTCAACTTCCACATGTGGCCCTACATCTCAAGTGAATATAAGTCGTATTAAATGACCAGCAAGGTTTCGTGAAGTTCGTCATGCTTCTAAACAATCTTAATTTCGTGAGCAGAAAATCTGTCCGTCATGTTTCACAAATGTGTTTATGTCATTGACGCACAGCAGGAACAGCGAAGTACGGTTCACGCTCACTGCACGACACTATTATTGGTGGACGTGGAGAAGAGCCGTAACCAACTAAAGGGAATACTTGGTAGCGAAGCAAGCGTTAGGAAAATAACCAATATAATAATAGGGCACGGAGCTCAAAGGTCTTCAAGATTTGTAACTAATGATTGTGATGATCTCGGTCGAATTCTTGATGTACGTATAGAAACCAAATTAGTGATATCTTGCGAGAAACGATGGCTGCTAAAGCATAGTACCATTGGTACAACTGCCAGTTGACGTAGAATCTTCTATCAAAACTACTACAAAGTGTTCACAAGTTTTAACACGCACTTTTTGAACAATTTTTCAAATAACTTGGCGAGTAGTCAAGTCTGAAGGACAGGGCAATATTAATTGGTGGACTGAGTGTTTGCAGAGCTCGGCAGGTGGATTGCAAAGGTTTCGTCACCACTCTGAGGTAACCTCGTTAGCGCGCGTGTAATTAGCAGAGTGGCGCGTACGAAGTGTCCGTGAGTGTGGGTTATCGATCTGCTAGCCGCTAGTCCGAGCTTGGATTATTCGACTAACACATGACCATCGAAATCGATCTCTGATTCTCACCTCGTAGTGTACGCGCGCGCGACTCTTCAGTTGCCATCCTCTGCCGCACTAGTCTGGCTTTCCGTTCCGTTAGATTTATTCTACTAATTTGGTGATTTTCCATCTGTAGTGCTGTATACATAGCATCAGTTTCAACGTGTCTTTTTACTGAATTGTCGGTAGAACGCCATCACTGAATTAGTAAAATAATTATTAGAGATCGATTTCGATGGTCATATGTTGGTCGAACAATCCAAACTCAGACTAGCGGCTAGGAGATGGATCACTTACACTCACGGATACTTCGTACGCGCCACTCTGATAATTACACGCGCACTGACGAAGTCACCTCGAGTGGTGACGAAACGTTTGCAGTCAACCTGCCGAGCTCAGCGAACACTCAGTCCACCAAATGAACAAACTGAGCTACCAACATTTGCTTCCATATCGCAGATCAATATTAGTCAAGCTTATGTTTTAAAGCTACATTTTGCCAACTATATAAATAGCATATCCTAGGCTTTGGAAATTGGATAGATTTTAGCAATTAGTTAAAAAATGCAATGGAAGCATTTTTAAGTCAGTTTGTCCTAGTATAATTGTGTTTGGTGACATTCCACCAGCTCCCATCATGAATGACTGCAGATTGTCTCAATAACATGGCGGATAATGTTGAGCAAAATAACGGCGTTATTTGCATAATGCGTCAAGTAAGGCAACATTTTCGCGTTCATGCAAAAAAGACAAGCGGTAACCATGTAAGTTTAAATGCGGATTATGCATTCATGTAGTGAAAGTTAAGATTATGACAACTCACACAATCAACGCAATTCCAGATACCCGTCTACCTAATTTGTCTAATCTAAATCATTCTGGTCGAAAATGAAAATAGTGGAGAGGTATTTGTGAAACCTGTTATAAAATATGTTGAACTTCACTCCACAGATGCAAATGACAAAACGGCAGATGCAACCTCAGCAACTATTGGGAGAACAAATAGTTAGCTGTTAATATATATATATATATATATATATATATATATAATGAGTGCCATCTGGGTTTGATTTAGCTACCTGAATTGTATAAGCACTTCATACTTTAGAAAGTGAACTATCGCGATTTATTTATCTACGGTAACATCGCTAACATAAAGGATGGAATATGTTTCCCAAATTGTCGAGGTTACCTTAGGTGGTTCGTCGGGTGTACGCAGTTGACGCTGTGGAGAGCGATGCATTTCGGGACTTCATTTCATTTCAGGACTTTTTAAAAATCATCCCCCGTCGTCATGTGCATACTTACGAGTTACCGTACACAGGCATGGAGACTTGCACTAATATTTGAGAATCATCTGTTGCTGATTGGCATCCTGGAAGCCCAAACCGTAGCAAGAAATATGCTGTGATGCATCAACGAAAATTGGATTAATTGTCTGAAATAAATGGAAATATAGTTAACAGAGCAGCTTAGCACAGCAACAGTATGAAGACTAGGGAATACAAGGAGGAGGAGATAAGTGACATTAAAAATTATGTGAATTTATCTGATGGCGGGTACTAAGCTACTCACGAGAACTAGATCAGAAATCTATGCAGTCAGCCACTTCCTTTTGCATGCAAACGAGCCCTCACTAAAACTCTCAATTACTATTTCAATGATGTTAGGATTACAAAATTTCTGGTAGGATTAGATAGCGCAATGTAGCGCAGTGAGATTGTTGATGAGACGCAGAAACATCTGAGATATGCAACTATTTCAGTTGTAGCACTTATCAAACCACACAATTCTCTACCTCGACAAGAAAGATGCAATAAAATCCCTGAAGTCTAATGAATATATAGTCATTTTGCCTGCGTACAAGGGGAGCGTGACGTTTATAATGAATAAGGCGGATGACGTTAAAAAGGCGAAACAACTTCTGAGCGACAAATATCCTACTCTCGCTTCGAAAGAAATCCAACAGCGGGATTGGCAAACAGAAAAACAGCACATTACTACTACTCCAGGAGAGGAAGGTCGAAAAGAAATACCGCGGCAGGACGACGGCCCGCGATATGATCATGGCACCGTACTGCAATCTTCCAAAGGAACAAGGTTACGGTGTACCACCAAGAAAAGTCGTACCATTTACAGCCACACCCACATGCAACCTAGCGAGCTACTTGTGGGGACTCCTCAGGCATCTAAAAATTGGATCACAGTTATCTACGTAAAGTGCCCAGCACTTTAAATAAAATACCAAAGGCATCCGCATAGATCACTACGAACGAAGAGCACTGTTCTACCTGACCGCTCATTTTACGTCTGTCAGTTTACAGACCGCAAACAACTAATCACCTAACGGCTGGATCAACTCGAAGAAAGAAACGGAAGGCTGATGATCAACATTCTGTGTAACTTGCTTTACCGGTGCTTTGCGACCTATTAGGATTTTGTTGCACGTCTATGAGCAATCCAAAGGAGTACCAATGCGGTCTGCAACATTGGGGCAAGTTGCCGAGCTAGGAATGTCGAAACATGAAAAGAATCTCATGTTCACAATCAACGCAAAGTTGTGTACGCGATACGACCATGACACATTATTGATATCGACACTTAGTCTAGAAGACACTACATACAAATTGCTTAATAACACACACGAAGCATTTATTTTCCAATGGATTTAAAGATTAGAACCAACTGGCATTTTTGGTTGTGTTGATCTGCAACATGATTGCCGAAGGTTTGCAACCATCGGTTCAGAGGATACACCCATCAAGCAGATTCCAAACTACTTCTGTAATCACCCGGAATGTCACAAACTAAGCTACGTGCAAACTGTATTTGAGAGAAAGGAAACACATTGCAACTCGAAAGAGGCAAAGTGTTAAGAAGCTAGATCGGTTTAGATCATTTATCCTTAACAAATATCCACCATGGATAGTTGTGATATAACAACAACCTTGCCGCCCGGAGCAGACGCAAAATTGACGCCGCCGTGGCCGCTGTAAATCCATAAATCCACACAATTGCAGACAGTCCTTAAATACACCGTTTCAAATGACAAGAAGCAAATATTTAATTTTAGATTGCAACGGTAAATTCGCACATTTTCAGTTTTACACACACGTGAAGGTGTACTAAAGATACACATTTTGCGCATTAAATGAGGCGGTTGTTGTGATAACACTAACCGTCGTCAACTGCTCTCCTATGTCGAGGACTTTCCATCTGTAAGACTTTTCAGGTTCGTTGATAATTGAGGGTTGGTTTGTTATAAGGTTACACCATGAGAATTTGCTCTTTCAGCTGATAGGGCTAAGTGTTTGTCTAGGAAAAATGTGCAGCTATCCTCCAAGAGGATATTTCTGTATTAAACTCAAATGCTAAGAAGTGCCATTTATTCTGTCGTATCATGAAACCTCAAGAAATACTGTACTCTTCTCTTTGGGAGAAGCAATTCCTTTTTTACTATATCTTGGTCGATTTCACTAAGCGGACAACCATATTTATCATCACGTAGACTTGATAGTACATGGAAAGCATACTTGTTCGCGAGGACATGATATTGCTGAAATCTATGTTTCGCATCAGTCAATTTGTCTATGAGAGACAGCACTTCCCATTCCAGCTCAGCATTAGAGCACATCGATATATCAAACAATTCTCTACCGTTAATTCGTTTCTTTTGGCAGTTTTGACGCTTCATGCTTACTCCATCCAACGCAGATTTCTTGTCTTCAACCGTTGCAATATGCACCATTTTTTCTCTACTCTGACGAAAGCAAGCTATTAAATCTCTAAGCTTGCCACCAATTATTTGCCGATCTAGCGCACTTGTTTAGACATATATGTGTGTTCTTTGTTTCTATGAAAACAGTTCCGTAAATGCTCAGAATCAAAATACAAGGAAAAGTCAGCACCGAGTTAAGTAGTAAAAACGCAGCTGAGCTTGTGGTTACATTTTCTCCTTATTCTATGCAATGTTTCACAGAAGTGACAAGTTCCGAGTATTTATTCACCATACTATATACAGCAACTGTCGATTATCCCATCTAAATTTTAATTTCACCTGATGCTAATACCCGTGACCTGAATCAAAGCACTCAAGTAAAATTTATATGAAGATGGCTGACAATTGCTGGTCCGACGTATAAAAAATGTGGCAGAATGAATCACCGTAGAAGCTGCATGTATACAGCGTGGTTTTTGCATGACACAAATGTTGACTTTGTGCTTATTTTAAGGATAGCTCTTTTGACACCCATTTGTTAACGCACCATAATAACACCATTGCCAAATGCGTAACCACGGCAGTTGTCAACAGGAATTCCATCCTTCTCTGATTCCTTAAAAACCAGTCCAGAAATTTCCCCTGCTCTTTTGCTGTTACTCACAACGAAGCTGAGAAACGACTCCTCTATCAACAATTTATTTCTATTCAACTGATTTTCGTAAGATACGCTGGGAAGGCAAACAAAAATTTGAACAATTATTTGCTTACCTTTAACTCATCTATGATTTACTTTCGCAATTTCTTTGCCAAAATACGCACTAATTCATTTCGAAGAAATGCAGTAAAAAACGGGTTGATTTTCCTTCTCAATTGAAACGTCACCAAATTTTTGCGGAGTACACCGTCATACTTGGCCAACAATTATGCAAATTCTGACAAATTCCCACTATTTTTGGCTTCATTTACCTTCCGGGATATCTTCTCGGTGACCACACAGTGCCATGCTTTGCTTAGTGACAAATTTGATGATAGCAAGCATTCTAGCTAAATATCATGCCGCCAATATTTTACAACAATTTGTTTCATTTGGTCAAGTCCGCTCTCGTTTGCATTCCTGAAATTCTGAATGACAGAATCAAGTAAGTTAAACTAAACGATAAATATTTCAATCCTCTTTTTATGGTCAGCGGGGACCCACAGTTCTCTGTCCTTGGCCTTAAGCTCATCAAATATACATCAAGACTGTTCCATGTTAACTCCAAACTGATCGCCTCATATATGCTGACCGTCTTAAAATGTGGCTAGACGTGTTCCAACTTTATGACGCTGACCTGCTACAGACAAAGCTGGAGCGGTTACGCTGCTGGTCAATGGAGTGACAGCTACGCATTAACTATGCTAAGTGTTTCGTCCTCCCAGTTGCCGCCCAGGACCTCTATAGTGCTTACGTATTGGGGTTTCCAGCTCAGAAACGCAGCCTTGGGGCAGGGTCTTGGAGTTTTTGCCTTGCCAAACCTATGCACGCCACAAAATACCCTAAAGAAACTTGCCGCTGCTAATAGGATGTTTTTCTCTATAAAAGGATCGATTTTCCAGGGACATTCCGACTTCCCTTCGGCTCTCATGTTCGACCAATACTAGAGTATGGTTTACCAGTGTCCTATTCTCTCACGAAAGGCCAGTGCGCACTGATAGAGAAAGCTCACCGGCTGGGATCGAGAAACGTCAGGACACTCCGGAACCATCTTTAAACCTATCAATTTCAAAGGATGAACTTGTTCTACCTGGATTATCATCGGCCCCGTTGGTGATTCAATTGTCAGGCGAGGTATTCTTCGTGGTGAAAGGGGTATGAAATACAGGAGTTCTGGCATCTTTGTGCAGATAGTTCGACACTAGGCCACAGTTTGATGCTTTTTTAACCAAAGATGCTTCCAGTTCTCTCTGGTGTAACTTTTTCAACTCGCATGATCAATGACTGGAATTGTTTACCTGAGCTAGTCGTCAATGGTAAATGTCGCAAAAGGTTGCAAGAAAACATTTGCTAGATAAGCATGGGTCTTGCTGGTTTGACGGCGACCACAATGTTCCTTATTTGGAGCACTGTGCGCACTTGGCAGAAATAAACTACAGCATATTCTACACCCAGTACATGTAGGGGACGCCATCTCTTCAAAGTAAAATTCCAGTGAGAACTGAATAAATGCAATGTGAAAAGTTTTATGATTTTTGTGGATGATCAGAAGGAGGTTCGGCGACATTACAGGATCTATGTTTGTTAAGTCATGATTGACATTCGTTAAGCAACATTTGGGGCACCGCATTTATCTTTGTCCGGTCCGCTTAGCCAGGGACAGAATGTTATTAGAGGGAATGTTTAGGGTTGCAACAAACTGATTTGGGAAATTTTTCAATGAAACGTCGTCGCAATCCAGGCGGATTGATCTTAACCAGTTATATGTATTCCGGGAAATTCAGGCTTAGTTTTTCTTCGCTTTTCTAACTCGTTCGGCTTCCGTCACTCTGGGATCATTGGATAAAGTTACACAAGTCTGCATCTGGTAGTGTCTGGAAGGAGGTTCGTTTATCGCGCAGGGTAGTAGATTCTAGAAATACGCCGCTTGTAAAAGTTCCATTTTCTCTAACTGTTAAAGTGTTAACAACGACGTGACTCCAATGGACTTCAGTTTTAAACTTCTAAATTCACGCATTACCTTATGCTTCTTATTGCATTATTAACTATAAATTTGGCTCCAAACGATTTTACTACTTTCCTAAGGTTGTTTCTTGATACACGTGACCGGTACGGCCGTCACCGCCAATGCAGGTTAAGCAGGTATTAATTGATTGAACGCAGCCACATTATCGCGAGATCATCTGACTCTCCTAGACTGCAGTTGTCACAGACGAATAATACCCCGGAATCAAGAGATGCAAAATAAGGAACCCTCATGTGAATATCTCCGAATGTTCCATTCCTACTTGAAGGTGAATCCAAAACATCGCAACTTCTAATTCTATCGCAATAACAGTAACTCATCGTGATTACTATTTCATGCTAATATCAAGAACAATCAAATATATCAAGCCCGGATGTCTTACATGTAGATTTTAACAAGCGTATACAAATGTATATCGATCAAAAGCCTACAAAAACACAATTATGTTTCACAAACGCATATGTCATCAAAATGTAAGGAATAATGTGAAATCAATCACTACTGCTAGACATTGCTCATTGAAAAGTAGCGCATTTGGATTTACTTTGAATTGGTATTATTTTAACGCTGTCAAAGAGCATTTGATAGACGCTCTCAAAAGAAACGTTTGCAATAGACTTTTGCAAAAATGCACAGTAAAAGAAATTAACTCTAACATCGAAATGTATCAATAAATATTTACAATTTAAATCATCTGAACATATATATATGCCATGCACAGACAGGAAATAAACAGGAAACAATTCAAAAATGATTTTTAACTGTCAGCATATGAAATAATTCACCATTCATATTTAAATCGGAAACCTGTACAACAAAACAAGGATTTAACAATGAGGATACGCACTGGAAATTGTTACTCGCAACTTGTTAAATTCATATTTTTGTATAAACCTAAACAGCAAACCTTTGTTATCTTAAGTTTATATACAAGGTTTGACTTACCGATACGGTACGTTTTACCTTATTTATTCCAAAATTATTTTAACGCGCAGGTATTTCAGTCTCAGTGAACGTTTCATCCTTATCACCAAATGCAACAGTCAATCGAACTCAAAGTAAGTAAAACCATTCTGGAAACTATGAACTTAAAGAGTAACCCTAATTTAACTGTGATAGAACTCGCCCAAAATTTTCTCCATGTCACTGAAAAGTGTCCAGCTAACCCATTAAGTAAATTTAGGCAGCATACTATAAAAATTTTGTATGCTGAAAAGTATTAGTTACATTCTTCATCAAAAGCTGGTTGTCAAGACCTAACGAACATACAATTATAGCATGAACAAGCTTGTGAACAAAATAACCAGGTAGAAAAATTGTCAGTAGTATATTGCATTTTTGGTAAATGGAATATTTATAAAATTTGACATAATAATATAAGGTTTAAGTATATATTTTTAATTGAGTCATCACTTTAGTCTAAGTATTTTCTCGCCTCATTCTATATGAATATCTTGCAGATATGTTACATTAAATAGTGGTCTAAAATGGTCTTACTTCGAATTATGGTTTTTGATACAGAACAATAGGTATGCATCGACTAATGTTGTTTACCGCGACATTCATGAAATTTGGCATCACTTTACGTAGATCACCTCAAAGAACAAATTTATTATTAAGGGTCGTTACAGGAATAACTGAGGAGTTTTCACGAGTATTGTTTCCTTGCCTATGCTCAAATCTTACAAACCGGAAATGGTATAATGTTTTGTGGGTTAGTATATCTTACTTTCAGTTCGTTGCAGTAACAAGATACTACCCATCAGTCGAATCATATGTTACTAATAACATCGCTTTTTATTTATATGTTTACAAATAGGTAATCTTAGGCAAACCAAACTGGAAACTTGTATAGATATTCAGTTATATCTATTGTGGCAAATGCTACGGATGCAATATCCTAGTGTAGCTGTGTAATGCAATCATTACAACTTAGCAAACTAATTCCTTGCAAACTTTGCAGGATTTGTTATTTTTCAATTTTTCGGGTTTATAGCTAGAATCTTTTCATATTTAAACTGGGAAAACAGCATTTTTGACGTTTTAGGACAATTCAGATTTTTGACCAAGAAATCAGATGGTACTATATAGTAATGGTGAAACAAGTCAAACTAAATATCTTGAAGTTGAGCATAATACTGTTGAAAAAATGGATAATAATTAGTCGTCTAACGTCATTCGCAGGTTAATTTTCACATGGCCCATTATTTTTTTTATACACACTACGCTAATATGATTGAGGACCTTGTAATCCACGTAAGTTATTAAGGCTAAACCATTGCAAAGCCCAACATTTTTGCGTAAATATTACAACTTAAACTTCCTAAGCCGTATACACTTGATTAACGACACACCATTGACGATAATCGGACAAACCAGCCAAACTTGATTAAATAACAGCAGCGTCCATGTATCATCGACGAAGAATACTTGAATTAAAGGATAATTGAGGTTCCTTAAGCACGCAGGCGAGATTACAAGGATATGTATACAGTCGTATCCATAGATAAATATATGGAAAATGCTGTGTGGTATGGGCTACTGCAATCATCGAATATGATGCAACCTTGTTGCTGGAGTTGCAATGACACACCAACAAATTTGTTGTTTCACACAAGTGCCATGGAAGATACCGGGAAAACATTACGGTAATAATATTTAAGCACAGGCAATTCAAAATAAGTAAAAATAAAGTCATAAAAATGTCAACCAGAATCGTGTAAAATAAATCGACTTGCTCATGCCATTAGGCAAATTTTTTACGTAATCGAAAAGAGTAGTCGCAAAAGAACGCTTAGTTCCAGAATGTGGAATGCTTTGCATTTGCACCAAGTACACAAATTTGTTTTCCTTGCGTGTTAGGTTTATGGTATCGGTTTCCAAATGTGTGTTAATGAACACTTTAATTTCGACAAGTTTCAAATAGCAATTGTGGAATTTGGTTTAGCTGTGAGGTTGCCCATGCAGTTTTTGAATTCTGTTACGGATATGTGATTGGATGAGAGATACCAACCTCATATCAAATGCAATTCTCAAAGAAATGTCTATATACTTTACTGGGTTTGTGGTAACATATGCGCAAACTAAAACAGGACACACTTGCACAGGAAACAGTGGTTTTTAATGAGATGCCTCCTCTAAATACCAAACAACATTGGACGCACCTGATAACATAGGTCTTCGGTAGTAGAAAAACGAAAGTTGAGCACAACAGCCCATAATATCAGGCAGGGACGTTGCACAAATTAGCAGCTAAACAAATCGTCTTTCTTCCAAGAAACACCTACGCGTGGGTTTTTTAATTTATTATTCTAAATACAGAAATGAATTTTCCGAAAAAAGCTATTTCGCTTAATTTGGACTGGTAAACGCAACAAGTAAAAGTTTTGGTGTCACCGAATGGATATAAACAGATTTCTTAACAAGTATTACCATCAAAACTTTCTTTAATTCAAAGACTTTCAAAAGACTAACGGCATTGCAGAAGTTGTTTCTCAGTATTGTCGGTCCGCAACATGCGCTACAACCGTTAACATTTTTCCTGTGTCTTAAAAAGCACAATATATCCTTTGCTTTAGAAACATAGAGACAAAAAGTAAATAAACTTTTGAGACAGGAAGAAGTAATCATGATGCATAAACTGTTTGTTGATAATAAAACAAATGTAACACTTCTCCAAATGACAACCCAAGTGCCAGAATTAAAAATACATTTGGGACTGCCGCTTCTATGATTAAGACACAAACTTCAGCTACGATTAATGTTGCAACACAAGGTGAGTAACCATAATATAGAGTATAAATAACATTTGTGTTAAAAGTCAAGATTAAACGGTTGCGACGTCAATGAAGGGCGATAAAATATCCTTCTAAAGTCCGTTGATGTTACTGCTGCGACAGAAGTCTCTTAGTTGTTTTGTGCTGAATATTTAGTGAACAGCTTTTAGCCAGGCATTATAGATAAACCATATCGTGGAGCTATTAAGTTTATTGGATGCGCGCTTAAAAGACAAATAAGTGCATCACTTTGCCGTTAAATACCATGAATATTTTGCAAAAGCAAGGCAGAGTTGGCTACTCGGAAGTAAAACACCTTATTTAAAGTAGACGTAAGTTTATTATAAACAAAATCACCTGTGTTGTTATCTAAACTAAAACATCAACCCTAAAAATGTAGTTGCTATATTCGACGACGCAATTCAGGGCCACACATTTAAAATTTGATAGCAACATAATTTATAATGTAAGGTCAACGTAAATCTATTCAAAGTACTCTAGTTGGATTTAGCCTCTAGCAGGCATGGGTTCTATCCCCAATAGGCTACCGACGGATACGCACCACTGACGAGTTCCAATTGAGGCGAAACGCGCGTCCCTAACATTTTAAGAATAGTAGATTACCTATGAGGCTTGTAATCTAATTATAATGAAGCAAATCGAATCATTCCCAAATTGCTCTACTCATTAGTAACCTCACTTTTATCGGAAGCGTCTGATACAAAACTATTTTACATTAAATATTCTAATCAAACAACAAGTTACGCTCTCTCCATAAATAATGTAAAACATTATATCTATAGTAACTCAATTATTTTGCTTATAGCCGAAAAGCAGACATTTCCATTTGATTAATTCAATCAGCCTTTTCAAAATTAGGGTTGGCTCCAGTAATGGTGGTTGTATAATTTTCTTCCGTTAGACACACCTTTTGGACCGCCTATCCCTTATGTCCCGATCTCCTTTGTGTGTCCACTGCAAACTAGTGCCACTTGTTGACAGGGGAATTTGCTAATCAGCCGTAAATCTGAAGAGTAGCATGAGGCACGTATTCAGCACACTCATTACTGTTTACAGTAATATGTTTCTACATTTACCACCCGAATATTATTTTATAAATTACAGGTGAAACAACAACAACCTCTCTCGTTACAAGTACGATTTCCACTACCGTTGCTGTAACACCAACAAGTAAGAGAAGTTGATATACGTGTTATCAATACCATATGTGCTAGACGTTTTTGTGCACATGTTTGCGGAAAACTGACCATTGGTTGCATTAAACTGTTCAGTCATTTGCTTTTGCATTCAAAAACCAACTGAAATTTTGGCAACTTAAATGCCAGCTTAAATACCTCAAACAAAATAATGTAGATCAAACCTTGAACGCATTTCACATGCGCATTTATCCCTGATAATGTCACACACGATTTCTTTGGAATCGCTTTGCTGGTATTATCTTGTTGGTAGCACCTGTGTTTACCTGGAAGCGTAAGATTTCGTAGCCAACGTAAAAAGTTGCGTGGACAAAATATTTTGTTCTCGTCCCCGACAAGTTTCCAATTGAATGTTCGGAGTGGGGGATTTGTGTCACAACTGAGTACATTCACTCGAGAATCTTGGTAGCATCGAGCGAATTGTTTCCGTCTGCCACAGTCGGCGAATGTTCGACCCCACGCTAGACTTTGATCACGATACTTCAGCTGTTGCGCGGCGCAAAATTTGCATGTTCATTGTGTCTTGGTAACCGGCTTCCCGCGGTGACATGCGTTGCCAGCCGTAGCTCAGTGATTAGAATGGTAGCAGTTCTGAATATATCCCCAAAGGCATTGATTTCTAGGGACCGCTTGACCTACCTCACGGAACAAACTATGTTTGAATATTTCATGAAGTAAAGCGATCATAGGCGAACAAAAAACAACAACAACAGCAGTACCTCAGCTTTTTGAACAGATACTTCGCCGCCATACAACCACGATGATCTATGAAATAAAGTATAATAAGATGGGGGAAGAGGGACTTACCTGAAAACCTTAATGCACTAAGCAAACATACAGGACCAAGGCGCCTACATCTTGTGTAGACAATATACCGTCTCAAACAGCTGGCTGTCGTGCAAAGATAAGGCGGCATCGGCGAGACAGCTTCCTTGCGGCTTTCACTGCCACGCCTCATAATCAGCGATTACCCCGCAGATAACTCAGCATCAAACAAACTAAAAGCCGTCAATGCGAATAGGAGACGGCAGCAGACGCACCCCTGGCATCGATTGTGAGTCATATCGTATAAAATCTCGAGCCAAGCACAAGGTGAGTCACGTGGACTCCAGCCGGGAAGGCGAGACGGACCAACGGCACCCAGTTTGGTCGTCAGTGACTTCATTTCCCGCTGCCAAGTCAACTCCTGTCCACCTCGAGCTTTGTGCCGCCCTACATCTGGCAGACTAAACAAGGCATTCCTAGGTAAGCAGTGACCAGGCATACGTTAAACGTGCCCGAGCCAACGCAACTTATTCATTGCAATCTCTTATTCTAGGGAGCTCGCATGATTATCACTACATCAATGCACACACTGCGCAATATTTATATACCTCTTAGTTTGCGTTCCCAGGGGTCAAACTGCTTTGAATTTGCTTCACAGTGTATAGCGGTGCACATTGCGATTGCACACTGCAATCAATTCACAACCGGTGTGTCAACACGACGCTCCAATCAACTAATTCAAAAAGCATGTTTGCATATTTTAATCTCGGAATATAATGTTCACTAACACTGTGATTTTCGCTAAAGAACGCTGTGTTAAAGTGCCGGCTGTCAGACAAAATCAGAAATATGATGCAGCTTGCGTAAGGGTGTGTTGTTCATTTAAAAATTGTGAGCCAATATTTGATTACTATTTGATAGAACCACAAGACAAGTGAATTCAAGTCATGAATCGGTTAAATGCACCAACAATTGGTGATTCTTCAGAAGCAACACAAAGGCCGTCGACAAAGCTAAATAATAACGTAGAATATTCCAATGTGATAGGCATCAACATGTCCCTCAAAAACTACAGGTCTAACATCTGTGAGGTCATCTTTCCACCTCTTCCGGACTGAGTACGTGCGAGCATCAATGATTGGAAGGAATTTGAACACAGTTGTTTTTATCCTGCAAGCAGAATTAAAGATATGGCAAACGCAGGGGTTAACCGTAACAAACTATGTCCATCCATAAAACTTGCATACAAAAATGGGGGATGTTACAGCTGGGTAGTTTTCATGAGCAGTGGCGTGAACCGAGTGTGCTTACTGCTGACGACTGTCTTGTATCGCTGTAGACACAATCTAATTTTTTATTGAGATGTAGGTAACGGAATCGGCTTATCCAAGATAAATTTAATTATGCGTTTTGTATACTCTATTATACGGATTTCCCATAAGTTTTCTATAACGAAAATAAGACAGAAATAATAGTGTCCTCTCACTCCGAGTGTTATTGCATATAATATAGGTGCGACCAATGTTTCCATGGATGCCAGTTCGCATACGACTACGAATGCTACAGAAAAAGCTAGGTTACTTGGTCGTAATAAGTGTTATTGCCTGATACGCCATACGTCTCTGAGCAGCCTCTTGTTTAAGTTGACCAAACAAATAGATAAATTTGCTAGATCACTAGCCGTTATGTGTACGATGCCAATAACTTAGTATCTTAATTAATTCATCACAACTATGTTACAACCTGCGTAGGTGAGATAGCAGTCCGGAAAAAGACCAGCCGATCGTTTCAGACGACTTGGGATCGTCAGTACTGGCACTCCTGAGGTCTTCTGCTGGGGGGTCGTACCCACCATCTCCGTTGTCTTGCACCACTTGCCAACATGTTATGCCACTGAGTCATGGGGAGGAAAGCCAACAGCCACAGACAGAAACCTAAGCGCGATATAGCCCGACACACCCTCATGCACTATGTAGGATAATGCCCATGCAGAAAATTTTAGTTGGCAGTCTGGGACAAGACTTCCTTTGCCAGCACCGTGAATCTACAAAGTATTTCGACTGATGAAAGGGCGTAACTTTTGGTTACTAATTTGTCGACGGATAATATTTTGATTTAACTTCGTTCATTACCATGCTGATAACATTCTAATTGCGTTGAATCAACGAATGCCATACCCTAAGCCATCTAGTCAGTAAAACTTTTGTTTATGCTCATTGTAAATAGCACATAAAACAATGTGCTTAACATTATAATAGCACCCCAAACACTGAAGATATCCAGTCTATTTGATGCCATGTTATTTAATCTTTTAGTGTGCTTTAAAAGTGAACAGCCTTGGATTTTGATGACTTACTAGCACCCGAAATTTTTATTGGGAATTAAATCGAGGTGTTTCAAATAATGCCATTTCACACGTAATGCACAGATAAATGAGAAACACGAGATACCCAAAATATATATGCAGCTTTCAAAAACGCCTGGTCTAATTGTCAAGGTACATTGCACTATAGGTGCAAATATACTGATATTAGATTACTGATTCCAACTGGACAGGAGCTTTCCTTTAAGTGCTTATGAATTAAATGTCTTGTTTCAGGAACTAATTTCCACTTAGCAGCTGTAAATGATAATAACTACAATACATATTTTTCTTAATGAGAGAATCTTTGTCTATAGCGCACAGATCAATTTGTACAGACGAATCCATGCGCTTGCATGGATGACGTATATAGATGAAGTATACTGATAAGCGTTTTATTTATTAACATTCAAGCGTATGGGTGAAGCCAAAGCCTAGGTATGAAAACATTGGTGTTTATACGTTTTGGGTCCATTTGGAATAGCTCATCGAGGGATATTTTCCGTGTGAATATAAAGCTTGGGGTAGTTAGATTAAGGTAACTAACGGGTCTACTTTTAAATCTGGTCACATGGTCACATGACTTGAGTGTTATTGGTAGTTTATTCCACAGATAGCTGCATCTGAACAGGGTGAAATTAGGGCTGACGTTCACTCTAACCTTCCGTATATTTAGTGTTGCGAAGCGCTGGACTTGAGCAACGTTTTACATTGATTGCAGGCAGGTTGAAATAAGTCATTTTGTATAACATGTTGAAAAGCGGCAACAAGTTGTTCTTCAATCGTCGAATCCAATGTGGTGCACGATGAAGTTCCTTGCAACGTTCTCTATAACTCATAGCAGAGTGTTTACCAATCAGATGTCTAGTAAATGACTTCTGCGGTTGCTCCACAGCAATTGTCACTTTTTCTCCCATTTCCGTATATCATGATGCAGTACTCGAGGATGTGTATGGTGAGTAGCTTGAAAAGCACAACTCTTGCACGAGTTGTGTGTATTTTGTTTGATATATTGAACATAGGCTGTCTGGCACGTGCCACTTGGTATTGGGCCTGTTCTGATAAATTGAAGGTAGACGAGTACCTAATTCCAAGATCTCGCGTGGACAATTGTGTAGGGACGCGTTCATTGTTTAGGGTGATAGATCCTTCTGAAGTGCAGCAGCCGTAAGACATCATGCTTTCTTTCTTAGCCAAGAGGTTCATCACCCATGTACAACATCGTGACTCAAAGGAATGTAAATCATCTTGAATGAGCAGTAATATCCTATGAAGCTCATCACCCTGTAGCTTATAGACTATTTTGATATCGTCAGCAAATAACAACGATGTACCATGTTTTACAAATGTGGTGATTTCATTGCTTTAAAGCAAAAATAATAAGGGACCGAGCACGCTCCCTTGAATGACTTTACTGGTGCTTGAGCGTGGGGAAGTGCGATAATCATCCAAAGTGATTACCTGATGATGACCACTCAGGTATAATGATAGCCAACCTAGTAATGGGTTCCGGATCCCAAAGTGCTCCAACTTTTGTAACAGTCCCTTGTGTGGTATTTGGTCGAACGCTTGGTGTATGTCAAGAAACAAGATTGCTATTGTATAACTGGAATCGACTGATTATGAAATGTGGTTAAGGTAATGCAGTTGACAGGTGGTACACGATCGCTTATTGAGAAAACCATACTGCGAATAAGTGATAAGGCCAAAAGAAACAACAAAATATATCATCTCTATTCTGACCAACTTTTCCAATGGCCGAGCGATTATCGGAGTGCGGTGCATTAGTCTGTAGTTATTAAACGTTTGTTTGGGAGTTCATTTATGCCGAGGCATAACAAATGCTATATACCATTCGTATGGATGATGGCAAGATTCCAGCGACAAATCAAACATACTCATCAGTCGCAATGGTATATCAGGCACTCCAATGCTAATAAAGGTTTTTGTTCAACTGTTAGAAGGCGATTTCCCCTTAATAGAAACCGCAAAGAAGTCATCCTATGCGGATGCTGTAGCAACAGAGTTAGCAGAATTAGATGAAGCGGAATGCTTATTAAGAAATTGGATTTTGAAACATTTTCTTGCGAAGTGTTGAATATAAGAATTGTTTCAATTTCAATCGTCTCCGGACAGCAGTTACATCTTAGGCGATAATACTGAAAACACCGTAAATTTCCCTTCTAGCTCAGTAGTACAAAACTAAAGTAAGTGTATTAACCTAGCCCGTTGTTTTGCGAAAAACATTCCTTAAAGGCTTTTGTCCTCGCATATGCGCAGTAGAACGCATAGGACAGCCAGGCAGTCATCTTGTTAGATCTCAGTGGTAAGTTTCAGTGAAGGATGTACTTGGTCTAGTAGGATGATGCCGTTTGCGGATGAGTCCGAGAATATAAACTTGTCATCCACATAGTAGCAGTAACAATTCAGTGAAGCGATACTGC